CATTAGCAGATTTTGGAACAATTGGTTATTATTCATTGTTTCGTTGAACAATATAAAATTGTAATAGTAACTTAGAATCAGGTTTTTATTACATTGCATTCATCATTATTTTGTATACGCATAATTTATTGCCGCCATTCCTGCTACAAAGATGAGAGAATTTGAGTATGAATTCCAATGCTTTTGACTAATCTCCACGAGTTTGATTTTAGAAATAATTGTACTGCTCCAAGATGAAAACACATTATATAGATTAACTTAGATTAACTTCCTAATTTAGCAAAGGAATTCTACTAGGACTACATATATATATATATATATATATATATATATATATATATATATATATATATATATATATATATATATATATATATATATATATATATATATATATATATATATAAATTTTTCCAGTTGTGAATTGTGTAAGTATTACACCGTCAATTTTCTATTAAATATAATTATATATATATATGTTTTTTCATTGAACAGTCACTGAAAATTACCTAAATTCACGAATGTACGCGACGTTCTTTGCGCATGTAAACTACAGCGGGTTAATTGTAAAACATCAGGATTAGTCCGACACCACCGACATTGTCCATCTTTCATCATAACATGTGTGTTGGGGCAAATTGCCTACCTTCCAGGCCACTCACTTTCTGTTTCGAATGTTGTCACCACGGATTTCTCACAAACGTTTCACCTGAGTGTGTTCGGACAACACAACCTTTTTTGTTAATGTAGACGTGCTGATTAATAAAGTCATGCAATAAATCTCTTACAATTGATTGTTAACATGATTCGTACAAAAACAGGGTTGCAACCCCATTCCTCCAATGTAAGGGGATGCTATTACCAACCACATTTTTCGAGGTGAACAATCTCCATTGTACAAAACACTATTCGCCGCTTAGTCGCAAGTGGTTTGTAAAATATTCAACTTACGGCATTTCAAAATCCAACTTTTGGGAGCGCACAGCTCCCTTAATAATCACTTTCAGAAAATGTGGTTCCTGCATTTTTGTCCTGGCTAGTGTGGCCCAGCAGATGTCGTCAGGCTGCAGCATTTATGTTGGTTCCAATTCCCACTGCCAATCTCCTGGGTGGCGGAGTGTTAGTCCCAGGAGAAGTTGACTAGGGCTAGTGTTAACTTCCGCGTTTGTCCGTCGGAGGGCGAAGAGGATTTTCGAAATATGTTTTCCCCACTGTCTATGGTCGTTCTCTACACTGAGACAGACGCTCTTCTTCAGTTCCTGGTTCCTCCGCTCAGTGGGATTGGGCCGCGGGTGGTATGGGGGAGTTGTCCATGTGTCTACCTCCACTCGTTACAAGCTAACTTCCATTTATGACTGGTAAACTGGGTACCGTTATTCGTTAGGATAGCCTGCGGATAACCTCAGTGTGTGAGAATATTTCGGTTTTTAATTTTAGAATTATATGGTTGGTTTCCTGGCTAGGTAAAGGGAACACCACTATCCATTTGGAAAATTGGTTGGTGACTACCAGCAGGTAACGGTTCCTCTTCGTACTTCGTGGATACTGCCCTGTTAGAGCGGCCATCAGGTGGGTACAGGCCATGCATGGGTGACGGGGTTTTGGTGTGGGTGGCAGGATGGGGTATTCCTTGCCTCGGCAACATGTCTCATATCTGTGGATGTACTGCCAGGCATCTCTGCTAATCCCATCCCGTCCATAGCATACTCTGATGTCGGTCAGAGTTTCTTTAATTCCTGGGTGACTATAGTGACGTCTGCAGATGTCTGCCCGTAAGTGCTTGGGGACCCATATCCTCTATCTCGTTCCAAGTTGGCCACTGCGGGACCAGACTATGTTTTTCCTCAGTTCAGTTCTAACCGCTGTGGGTGTTGTTGGAGGAGATTTTGGATATGGATCTTGCCGTTGATGGAAAGCTATTTGGTTCTGGGTAAGTTGTAATAGTAACAACTTTGTGTGCCTCGGGGTTGCAGTCTGGGAGTGGAGGAGGACATATCCTCTCCCACTCTTCGTCCACATTAGTGTCACCAATGAGGTCTAGCTGGCGGGACCGGGCATTCGGAAGGTTGTTCTTGCCTGGGCAGTATTGTATCTCATAATCAAATTCAGCAAGGAACATGTCTCACTGCCCGAGCTTGGCTTTAGAATTGGACTCGCGTAGCCATTGTAAGGCTTTGCTGACTGTTCACTATATAAAGTGGTTACCCTCCAGATAATATCTGTATTTTTGGGTTGCCCAGATAACTGCCAAACATTCTTGTTCATTTATACGATAGCATTGCTCGGTGGCATTTAGCCTCGTACTATCATATGCTATCACTTGGGGGTTGGCTGTCTGTGTTCTCTTGATATAGAATGGCTCCTAGGCCGTTTTGGTAAGCGTCTGTTTAAAATACCAACAGGCTCTCCCCTTTGGAAGCTTGTTTTTAAGATGTTGAAGGCATCACAGTGCTCTGAACCCCACCTCCACCTGGCATTCTTTTCAAATATGGGGTGTAACGGTGCCATGTGACTAGCGATATTTGGCACAAAGTCCCTGAGCCAGTTGCACAGCCTGACGGAAGGACGCAACTGTTTCTTGGAGGGTTAGCCTGCTTCTTCTATAGCCCTTATTGAACTTGCTTGAGGAAAATTTCCCTCAGGAGTAATGTGGCAGAGGTAATTGATCAATAATTTCCTGAAGTGGCTTTTAGAGAGTTTACACATCATCCCATGTAATACTAAGCGTTCCAAGACTCGTAAATGGCCGCAATGCTCTTCCCACAACTTTGAGTGTACTATGATGTCATCTAGATAGGCAAAGCATAACTGGCCAAATACCCGTTGAGCACTTCGGCCGACATGAGTTGTTGGAATGTAGTAGGTGCGTTTTTTAAGCAGAATGGCATGACTCTGAAATGGATAGTTTCTCCATCGTGTGGTGAAAGCAGTGTTTTTTCGGCTCTCTGGCTGTACCACAATCTGACAGTACCGATTGCATATCAAGGGTACTGAAGATCATGGCTTCTCCTATATATCGCAAAGTGTGCATCAGATTTATAGCCGGTGGTGCAATAGAATGGATGACATCATTTAACGTTTTATAATTTACACAAGATTGTAGTTGGCCATTTTTGTTGGGAACCAAAACTACGTGTAAATTATAAGGAGTCTGAAGGTTATACAATTCCTTGTTCCTTCATTTCCACAATCAGGTCCATTATTATCTGTTGCCTTCTAGTGGATAACCTGTAGGGACAATTGTAAATTGGCGCGCTGGTAGTAGGCCAGATTTTGTGTTGAATTGTTCTTGTTTGACAGAGCGATCCTCCATGTCTGAAAGCGCTGGAATGTTTGTCTAAGATACTCCTCAATTCCCAGAACTGTGGTTTATGGTAATTGGTGATTTATCTCTTCTGCTTTGATGGCTGGAGGGATTACTGCATTGGGGCAATGTTTCCAATTTACTGTTATGCAGTGTTTTTCCTCCAGGTATACTTTTTGTTAGCCATGATCCATTATGCATTGCTGTTGGTGTACTAGGGATGCCCATGTATGTTGGGGAGACAATGAACTCCACTGGTTTTGAAAGTTAATGGAGATTTACTGTGAGTGTCGTAGGCTGTCAACTGTTAGAAGTGATGCCCTTTGGTGGTGAGAACATCACTTTGCATGAAATCACCCATTGTGACTAAATCTAACAAGGCCAGAATCCTCCTTCCGTTTATTCCTACTTCAATATGGGGGTTTCGGGAGGTTCCATTTCGTCATCTAGAAGCTGAATGGTGGGCCCTTGCTGTCCGGTGGGGGTAGGCTTTGCCCACCGGTCACAGTGTTTCCAGCCCAATTAGCAAATTTCTAACCAGCCTGTCATTGCGTGGTGTCCGGTGCTCGGGTTATGATCCCCTATCCTGTTCTTCCCTGACATGGTTACTTAAGTGGGTAATCCCTTTTGTAGTGTTGCTCTGGGCAGTACTAGCATTTTGGGAGTTTCGGAGTGAAAAGAGGCAGCGGATGGGGTTCCCTCTTCGCTCTGGTGTGTTGTCTGGCTCTGCAGATGTGCTCATTCTTGCCCAATCAAGCATAGCTTGCACCTTAAAGTTCCGTTCAGTTTCTTTTGCCCCATCTACGAGCTCATCAACCAATAATGGTTTGGGTATTAATAAAAAATTCCCAAGATTTGGTAATAGCATGTGTGTTACACGACTTTTTTCATCTGAGGGAATTCCCTTAAACCTATTTAAACATTCCTTCGCACAAATCTTTCTGCTTGCTTGTCGGTGGTTTGCGTGCGTCTATAGAACTATGTGGTTAGGTTGGCTAGTACCTCTGTGCCGGTGAACTGGGTGGTGAGGCAGTTACAGAGTTGTTCCCACTCTGTTATGAATTGGCCATATTTATTCCACCATTCGAGGGCTTTACCCTCGAGCTTGGTTTGTGTTCGGCTTACCCACTGTTTAGGCGGAGTTTTGTTAACACAAAATTTCTTCTCGCATTCTGTCGTGAATACAAGTGGGTCCTCGTACAGGCGTTCTGCAAATTCTGGGATTTTGGGATTCCCCTGAGCTTTGGGCGTTGACTGTGTTGATGGCTGACCCTGGGTTGCTTGGACAGTATTCGGCTGCTCACCGGCACACTTTGTAGTGATAAACAAGGCCAGACCTAATCACTCCATTCTTCCGGCCACCCTATGTAGCTATAGTGTAATCGTTCTGTACATTTAATGCAATGGACTATGTTACCCAGTTGCACATACTTCGCATCTGAACTCCAGCCTGTCTGTGTATCGTATTTCATTTGCCCACACCAAGTAGACATAATGGAAATTATGTTGGCAATGTGCACAATTTATACCATATGTTCCAGTAACAGTGGGTTTATGGCACTGCTCAACTATGGCGCCTGTCATATTTATCTCTACGTGCTCGGGTTCGTTCATTTCTGTGTCCAACATTGTTCTAGGTTTCTTGAGTGCCGCAGGGTGTTTTACTACTCCCCAGTCTGGTTTGTTGACAATTAACGCCCAGCTAGCTCAGTCAGTAGAGCACGAGACTCTTAATCTCAGGTTTGTGAGTTCGTACCCCACGTTGGGCACCAGGAAAACTTGATGCATGATGTTCTTTTTTAGTAATGGTGGTTCATCACGGTCTGGCAATTTTTATTTGGTGCGAGGACAGACATACCTGGTTACTTTGACTCTACTTTATTTAGTGGCTTACTGGTGCCCTGCCGGTATAGAGAACTGTTTGTTTGGCTTTTTGATTTGAAACAAACTCGGGGATGCGAGTATGACCTTTCGTCTGTTGGACTTACCTTTACACCTGAGCGACTGGTGGCCAGTGGTTGCTGCTGACCCTGCTGGTGGCTGGTTGATGCTGGCACTGAGGCCTGGTTTTGACCAGACCACAAACAAAGACAGTAACGGAGCTGCGAAGGGAAGCTTCTCCAAGTGACACGACAGCCTAAGCTCATTCCCGGGGTTGGATTAAGCATTTGTTCTTACTTGGAGATGGTAGTTGCCTTTTTTTTTAATTCCTCTTTCGAATACCACTTCGCAGGGAGTAGGGCATGAGGAGGACTACTACCAGTCCCGAGAAGTTTTTTAGTAGGCGACGTCCCTAGCTTCCGAAAGTTGATGTTGACAGACCAAAGCTGTGCCCTGTTCTCCGTTTGTGCTCAGCACCAGGAGTGCAGTGGACACAAGAGCACTGGGTTGAATATGGCTGACAACTACAACCTTTGGGTGCAGATCAACAAGGAGTCAGGCCCCCAAAACTAGGCAGATACTCCCTCCGGCACCAGAAGTGCGGTGGGCAAAGTATAACCTCGACTAGTCGCCTTGGGGATTGTATTCCTAATGGGTGTGGCTCTATGTTCTATATACCAGAGTGTACACAGAATGGATGGCCACCTAATGTGTTTGTATTTGATGTGTGGGCGTACCTGAAGGGGAGCTCACAGCCCTGCACTACGTTTTGGACAATTGAGGTTAAGTAAATATTCCACAGTCCCCTGCTTCAATCTTGACAGAACCAATGTCTAATTAGGAATTGGAACAACACACTTGGAATTAGAGATGTGCCCAGACCCCAATTTGAAGACATTACGACACCAAAACTTTGTGGCAGAGACCACAAATAGTGCCAATACAAATAATTTAATTTTTTATATGGCGTTCAAATTACGTGACAAAGAAACCTGCAAAAAAGGATCTCTGTATGCATAAATTATGTTTGTAATTAAAAGTCTTTGCATACAAAATTTTGTTATTAAAACATTTCATACATATATAATTTAAATTATTTATATAAACCCCATTAAAATATGCCTGCCGGACACAACACATGTTGATTTACATGCCCTACTGTAGCAATACATGAATGGAATTTTGGTATGAATCTGTTGATTGGTACTTGAGATATGGCATAGACATTCCATTGTTAATGTGACGATCTTCATAAATGGAGGACAAGAAGTTAATGTATTAAGATATGCGATGATTGTTATAGATACAATGCACAAAGTTAAATTGAAATCTTTTACATACTTTCATAGATATAGCACATTAAGATAAGATGTTTGTATAGGTGCCATTCAGAAAAGAACAACTTGTGTACACAAAACATATAGGTAATCTAATATTTTCTGGTACAGTACAACTTACGCACCAAATTTGAAAGATGGTGAATGTTTCCCTACACATGGAATTCTGGCCATAAATGTTTATTTGTCTGACCTACTCAAAGTTTATGGCCTGCCATAGTGCTACTTGATTGGTAAAAAACGTTTTTTTTTTTCCCAGAGTTATCGCATAATTTTAATTTGTCACGTGATACTATTTTACAAAATGGCGGACAAGAAATTGTGTGTGGGCACATTTGATGGTTGCAATATATAGTCAGCATACAAAGTTGATTGGAATTAATTACACTGTGTTGATAAACATAAAAACCTGAACTAGCTATATGGTTACCATTTTGATAAGTGTCCGACATACCTAAAACATATCAGTTAACATCTGCTGCAGTACTACTTGTTTGCCAAATTTGGTAGGAATCTGTCAATGTTACCAGAGCTATTGCACAAAAACTTTACTACTTCATGTAGTGCTAGTTTACAAAATGGGTGACAAAAATGGTTGTTTTTTTGCTTATATGTTGCTTGTAGTAGATACTGTCTGCGTACAAAATTTGGTTGAAAAATTGTCAAACGGTGTGGTAATTATACTAAATAAACTGAAAATTTTTGTATGGCCAGTTTTGAACATAAGTGCCTAGTAAAGTTCAGTTACGTACATTTATCTGGCCTATCATATTGTTACTTGCATGGCGAATTTGGCAAAAATTTGTTCAGTAATTTTAGAGAGATAATGTAAAATCTTAATTTTTTCATGGAGTGGTGTTTTCCAAAATGGCAGACCTACAACAATATTCATCACTGAATTCAGCGTTTACACTTTGTGCTGTTAGCATACAAAATTTGGTTTAAATAAGGTGAATGGTTTTAGATATGACGTATCACACTAAATTTTAAAATGGTTGCCATTTCGAAAATAAGTGCTCAGCATGGTCGAAAACTGTAAAAGCCTAGTGACCTTACTTAGTACTATATGCGCACAGAGTTAGGTGAAATTCAGTTCATGCATTCAAAAATAGAATTAAATCATTAGGGTGGTTGAAACTATTTGGTTGGACCATGGCCGATTGTAACAGATGCCTATTTTGGGTTCATCGGCCGATGTATCTGTATCGATCCATCCCTACTTGTAATGATACTCGGCCGTTGGATAAAAACGTGTTGATTCCTGGGAGGAATAAGCCTGTTGGTACGTACTACCTCATCAAACCAGAGTTAAACGGAAGTTAAACTAACCTTGACAGGAAGTGACCTGCTCCTAGACCGCACAAGGTAGAATGCTAAATGGCTATAAAAACAATACTCGACTTAACTATCTAGACTTGGTATCAAGAAGGAACCTAAGGGATTTACAACTATCCAGAAGGGTAGTGGTAAGTGTTGGCTTTGCTGAAGGGATAAAGATATTTACATGTTTAATGGCTTCTGGAGTTTGCTCTGGAGAATCTCTGGAGGGTGTTACGGACGGTGTTGCTGAGCTTCTTGCAGATTTAGAAGACCTGAATGGCAGTAGAGGGCCCCAGCCCACAAGGTGGTGGAGCGAGCTGCTGATGATAGTTCCTTTGGCACCATAAGTGCCGTGAAGGAACAGACTGCCACTTAAGGGTGAGACAAATGTATTTATACCTGCCTGCGATCCCTTGTCCAGGGGTGGGAGAGGGGTGGTGGTGTGATGTCTGCAGGGCGTAGACTCCGCCGGCCGGAGATTCAGCTGAGGTGCCACGAGTCAGCACTTGTGGTGTCATCCCTGGTGCGCTATGGTATTATGTGGCTTTGAAACATCATCTTGACAGCTTGGTCGATAGCTTATTTATACTTGTGGAAATGAGTGCTCTATTTTACTATGGGAAAAACAGTACAATTTTTCTGCGTCTGTAATAGCCCCTGCAACAAAGGGTGTATCCTGTAGCCAATTCTGGAAGGAGTGTACTGTTATTTGGACCGTGCTGGTATGGATATGAAAGTTCGCATTGATGAGGCGAAGTTGTGTTAGTAGTTTGAAAAAGACAGCATGCATCATTATGTAATGTTAAAAGGTGAAAGTTTGCTTTCTTGCAAAAACTCACTACATGAATATTTTTCTACAATTATTTATGCCACAATACCATTAATAGGCCTGTTTCAGCTGGTATCTCCTTTCATATAAACAATAGAAAGCTTTTCTTTGTTTTCCGAAAGTGTGAAATAGAGCCGAGCTGATACCCGATATTACTGTATCGAACCTGTCTGAACCGATTTTCTTTTTTTGCCTATATTGAGACCAATATTTTCATTTATGCTTGGTCGTATAGATGATAATAGGATCGTGACTTTGGAGTAAGACAAACTCAAATGCTGCTTTTTTGAGGCAGCAGTTGCCTTTCTTATTCTAATAACTAAACTGCGAGCTTAACGATGAAGGGCGGGTGGGAAAAGCTACCCTGCTGTGAGATAACGATCTACAGGAAGTGTAAGGGTGAGAGTGAAATGCTGTTGGCACCCCACTGTGATGGTGTTGTAGGAGGTGGTAGTCTACAGCCTGTATTGCGAGCTGCCAAATTACTAGCTTTCCAGGCATCACACTGCAGCTCCACCTTGTCATTTCAGTATTTAAAACCTTGTACAAGCAATATGAAATCTGACATTCATTACCTGGCAACTGGCAGTGCTTCAATTTCTCTCTCAGTAAAATAAAAGGGTTTGCTGAATTAATAATTATTCATACCAGTATTAATAATTTTCTTAATATATAAACAAAGTTTAATTATACTGAGAAATTTGGTACACTCACAACCTTGTCTATTTAATATTTTTGATTTGATAAGATTAAAACTAAAATTGTTTAGTTGCCCTGACCTAAGATAAAGAATGTATTACTAAAATACTTTTGAGTGCTGCTTTTATTCTTGTTTTGTATTTGTATGTTTACTTAAAGCATCAAATTGCATATAGTGTGACACTTGACTAACACAGATTTCAATCAGCTTTCCAAAATACTTGAGTGCTAGTAGAGTCTTTCAGTTCATTACTCATAAGCGGTGTTCGATTTTAACGCCTATCCACCTGCCCAAGATGGGTAGAAATCCAGACGGACAGGTGAATGTAATTTTTCACCTGTCCGCTGGACAGGTGACATGTTTGCAGGCAAAAATGAGCAATGCAAAATTTGGTAGTTGCTTTATTTTCGCGCGCTAGTTGTGAACCGTGTTTAGTGGCAGCACAAATTTTAGTTCCAAGCCAATAACAGAACTGTGTGCACGTATCTGCGTTGACTTTGAGCAAAGATCTGCGTTGACTTTGAGCAAAGTCGCCAGTTTGTGATTTTATGTTGGCAGTGTGCCGATAGGATATGTGTCTATCCTACATTTCAATGCTACGAAACCTAGATAGACTGTGTTGAAAAGAATTCCTGAGGCTGGATATGCTGGTTTTCACACATGTTCCACCAGGTGTTTTTTCTTTCTTTCTTCCCCTTCAAC